GGGGACGCGGGGGGACGGAGTCCGCGGAGTGAATTTCGAGGGGGGACGGCGTTTCACTTCCAACTGGTTAGGTTCTATTGGAAATGAAAGTGATTTCTATACTTTATCCAATCAAAAGTCTACGAAAGCGACCCCAGTTCTGTATATAAAACGTAGCGTAATGTAGACTAAAAACGTAGCGGAATATGGTTAGCTGCGCAATGTCGTCTTTTGCCATAATACCTGCAGACTGCAGCCAATAGAAATGCTTCTCTATTGGTGCGCGTCCTGCTCCTTACAGAACAGATCGTGAAAGCAGACTGCAGTTTGTCATTCATTATAACAAACAAAGTGTAGAGACGATGTAAATTATAAATTCAGTGTGCAGTGTTGAGAGCTTCATTAATTAAAATGCAAGTTTGTGAGATCGCGATGAAGACGGGTGACAGAGTTAGCAAATGTGATATTGATTTTATGCATCAGTTTTATACATTTTTGATTTTATAAAAAAGTTACTATTAAAGTGACTTACATTTTAGAAACACTGTTGTCTGATTGTGCTCTATTGTCAAAAAAATAGTTCCAAACAAATCCACAGCTGAACCGCTGCGCATCTCCATTCAAACACAGCGGTATTTAGTTTATGAATGAATCTGCGTTTTTGAACAAATCTAGTGAGTCAATGATTCAATGACCCATTCATAAAGAGAGTCACTTGCTTCGTTCCTAAATGAATCAGCTGTTTGAACAAATCGATTGAATAAATGAATCAGTGACCAAGACTTTGACTTGCTGCCACCTCCTGGCGGTTTCAGTTTCATTTTTAAATGATAAATTGAGCCATTTAAATCTTTAACATTTCTATATTCAAAACTTTATTTTTAAAACATTAATCTCATAACACCGACATTATGAGATTATGACATTATACATTAATGCCACCTCTGAGTCTTGTCAAAAGGTCTGTAAATATTCCACATTTGTGCGCTTTTGTGCCGTGCAAAGATGAATTGTTGATGTTTAATTTGACTGGTAACTTATTCTTTGTGATTGTATCTTATCATTTTAGTTGAATTTGTTTAATTAAAAATTTTGATAAACATTTGTAAATCAATTTGTTTTGGCACAAAAGATGACATTTAATAAAGTTAGAAAAATGGCATTACAAAGAAAAAAAAAAATCACCTTATTATAAGATTAATAAGGTGAAGATTAATTTCTGTCATTGATCAGGTGTTCCTAATTATTATAATTTTTTTTTTAAGTAGGAGCACAAGTGCTCCTGAAAAGAAATGTAAGCGTAAGCGAGAACTTAAGAATGTCATGTTACCTTTTAAAAACTAATTGCAAACGTTCTGGCAAAGTGTAAACTATTAAATATAATCTACAAATCATGTAATACTGTACCACTAAATAAGAAGTGTTTTGAGGGCTTTGCTAAAAAGGCCAATTAGAAACAATAATCATTCTCATTTTTTATTAAATCATTCTTTTATTTCACTAATCAAATTAGTTTTTAAAAAAAATAAAAACAGGGGGTCATTAATGATGCTTACATTATAACGTGCAAATTCACACACAACTTATCTTTATCTGTATCTTTAATTTGGCCAGAATTGCAGGTGCAGAATTGCAGTATGAAGTAAGTTTAATGTTACTATAGATTATATAAGGGTTTTATAATTAATTAAATACATCTGACCAATCCCCCCCCCCTTTCAATCTAGAGTCCCCCCAGTGAATTTTGGCCATTTCCACCACTGGTTACAATAACAGATGGGACTGACATCAGCACAGCGGGATGTAACTCACTCTCACCTGGTCTTGTTCTTCGTCTCCCTCTCAGGTCTCAGAACAGCTGGATTTGTCCCGAGTAAAGCTGCAAAAGAAGTGAGTGATTTAAAGGGGTCATATGATGCGATTTCTAGAGGAGAAACAATAATGTACAGTATGTGGAAAATAATGTGTTTTTTTAACTTTAAACCGCATAAACACATTTCATTACACCAAATACACAAAATAATGTTCTTTTTAGCAACATCATATGACCCCTTTAATGAAGCCCATGACATCATGCAACATTATATCAACAGACAGAGATGAAGGTTTATTGAAACATATTGACTCATGTTTGTCGTTCAGGTGTTGCTGGAAAAGCCGTTGTTGAGCCGTTTCCTGGGCAGCAGGAAGCAGTACCGCAAACGAGGCAGCAACACAGAGTGTTTCTGGAAATACTGTGTCTGAAACATCCCGTGAGAACACTCATGCACAAGCTCTGTGGGCCTGATTTGCAAAAAATATGTTTGTTTGTAGGAAAAAAAAATGTTTATAATACAAATTTATGATTTTTACATAAAAGGTGACATTTAAGAAGGTTAAAAGGGTGGGGGGGAAATGCCATTACAAAGATGCCCCTGCAAATCATTTTAAGGAGTCAAATATCACCTCATAATGGGAAGGTTATTTTTTGTCATTGATCTCCTAAAATTTTTTAATTAATAGCACAAGTGCTCATTCTTTATTTTTTATTAAATACAAGGGGTCATTAATTAATAATGCTTACATTATCACATGTGCAGATTCCTACACAATGTATCTTTAATTTGGCCAGAATTGCACAGGTAATTATCTCCAAGCAGAGATTCTGTTGAATGAATGTTTATACCCCACATAATTAATGGACATTTTTCATTGACCTGCAATGTACCTGTCTTGATACCCAAGAAAACATATGGTTCATAGGAAACATGAAAAAAGTTTAATGCTATTATAGATTATAAAGGCTTTTATAATTAAATACATCTGAAAGTTCATCTAAAATAACCCCTCTCCCCTCCCAGCTAGAGTCCCCCCAGTGAATTTTGGCCATTTCCACCACTGGTTATAATAACAGATGGGACTGACATCAGCACAGCGGGATGTAACTCACTCTCACCTGGTCTTGTTCTTCGTCTCCCTCTCAGGTCTCAGAACAGCTGGATTTGTCCCGAGTAAAGCTGCAAAAGAAGTGAGTGATTTAAAGGGGTCATATGATGCGATTTCATTTTTTCCTTTTGTAAAAATCGACGCGTTTCAAAAAGGCGGGGCATAGAGGAGAAACAATAATGTACAGTATGTGGAAAATAATGTGTTTTTTTAACTTTAAACCGCATAAACACATTTCATTACACCAAATACACAAAATAATGTTCTTTTTAGCAACATCATATGACCCCTTTAATGAAGCCCATGACATCATGCAACATTATATCAACAGACAGAGATGAAGGTTTATTGAAACATATTGACTCATGTTGGGCGTTCAGGTGTTGCTGGAAAAGCCGTTGTTGAGCCGTTTCCTGGGCAGCAGGAAGCAGTACCGCAAACGAGGCAGCAACACAGAGTGTTTCTGGAAATACTGTGTCTGAAACATCCCGTGAGAACACTCATGCACAAGCTCTGTGGGCCTGATTTGCAAAAAATATGTTTGTTTGTAGGAAAAATAGCGGATAATTTATTTGTAGCTTTAAGCTTTGATGTAAATAAAGTAAATATATTTAAAAGAGTTGTAAGTTATTGGGTGCTTATTACTTTGACTATCAAAATACAAAAGAAAATACTGAGAAATATGAGGATCATATTTAAGAAGAACAGTTTAAAACATTGTGGTGTTTTATTCATAGTTATCATGTGGTGTCACAAAATACTTGCCTGAATTTGACACAAAATGGCTTTTTTTAATACAATTTGTGGTATTTTGCACCTTTTTTCGTAAAATACATTGGAGCGATATTTACATTTCTTTCTAAAAACTGTACAAAAATTTCTCTTTGATCACAAAACTTTTTCTGTCGGGTGGGACTGACATGTCAGTAATTGGGCCTCTGGCAGTTCTCTGTTACTGCAACAACCTAAAAACCAGAAAGGAACAACATCTATTCTGACAACAGGAACAGCACAGGAAACACGCTCACAACGACACACATCGTCTCTGACACACACACACACACACACACGCACGCGCGCACACTCTTCTGAACACAACAGATCAACAAATAAAAAAAGACAAGATAAGAGAAAATGAGGTTTGGTGAAAATCTTATGGTAAATGGCAAAGAGTTTTTTTTGGGAACTTCTTGATGGATTTGAGAAGTTTTATATATTTACATTCTCAGAAATAAAGGTACAGATACTAATATATATATACCTTTGAGGTACTAATATGGACCCTGTAGTGGTAAAGAAGATACAAAGTTGTACCTTTTAAAGGGTATTGCCCCAGTGACAGCTATTGTACCTTTTTTCTGAGAGTGTTTAGGTCACAATTCAACAGAAATATCAGAAAATATAATAATGTTACAAACCCCTGCTAAGTTTCAGCAGAAAAAAGGGGAATGCAGCATAAAGAGGACACGTGAACCCAAATGCCAAACGAAAATATTTATTTAACATAAAGAATAACATAAATGGAAACACGTATCCAAACAAGACGACGAGGAACACAAATGAACATAGAATAACTAGCAAAAACGATATACTTCCCCAAAACACGGGGCAGCTCCAAAGCATAAAGTCAACGAAAGAAAAACAAAACAAAAATATAAGGATTAAGAGAAACGGTAATAAAACTTGTTTGCTGGTGGATCTCCTGTGCCCCTCATGCTCCACTTCAGCGTCCTTTATATAGGGAATCAATCACTCATTCCATGAGACGCAGGTGCACCAAGGCGGACCTAAATAATCAGACTCAAGGGGAAAGATTAGGAGAGACATGACGTCACATGAAAGATGATAATCAAGGCTTAGGCCGTAACAAATAATAATAATAATATAAAAATATATATTTTATATAATATTAATATTATTATTATTAATTCATATATAAAAATAATTTTAAGAACCATTAAGAATGCATTGCTATTTTTGCATTATCAGATTTATTTTTTCCCTAAATTCCCATAATGAAAATAAATGGTTCTAAAATGGTCATAATTTTTTTACATGTAAATTTTATATATCTTTTTTTTTATTTTAATTTTTTATTTTGTGGTGAAATGTGACCCAGGTACAAGTACAGCTATCAACCCAACATACACGAGAGAAAAAATGTCTGTATATTCCAATTACACCATTACTTTAGTTTTATACCATAGTAAGACATTGCTCGACATCGTTCAGTCACATGTACAGTGGAAGAAACATTTGAAATTGAGAACAGAAAAATAAACAAACACACTGACGAAAAAACGAATCCGTTTGGATTGGATGAGCTCAATAAGGAATGAAGATCTTCGTGCTCTGGATCAAATATCATTCATTTCCATTCGTAGATGCTTTTAGATTTTGGCGGTGAGTGCTTATGTTCTTTAGTAACTGCAAAGGATGTTGCAGCATTGTGGGACATTTATACGCATTTATACGCAAGTGGTCAGGAAACTCATTACAGGTACTTCTGGGAGATCATGAACCCTCCTGAGCCTGCAAGATTCAGTAGAGGACACATTATTAATTAACAAAGTTTTCTTAAAAAAAAAAAAAAACATTTGGGCAACAGTTTAAAAAAATACGAGCCACACTGGTGACTACCAAATTATAGTCTGATATTCACAGTTGTTTGGGTCCATGGACTGTAACGGAGAACAGCAGAGAGAAATGCATGGTCATGTGACGTCTTCTGCGAGTGTCCAAACTCACGCTGACGTGGTCTGATCGAGTGCAAAGGGCTCTCCTCGTTTCGTGACATCAGGAGGAAATATGAGACACTGGCACGCGGATGCGGGCGTCCGTCTCTTCCCACGATTCCCATCAGAGAGCAGAAGAATCACTGAGTCCCAGAAGGCCGGAGGTCCAGCAGGGTCTGCGGTCAGGTGTCGGTGTTGGGTCTGGCGTCCTGAAACGGACAGTCTTGCGGACAGGAGCTGTCAGGAGTCAGAGGGTTTGGAGAGTCAGTCTGAAGATTCAGTTCCTCGCCCCGGTTCCATGGTGGTACAACTCACACAACACTAAAAAAAGATTTTAGATCATGATGAGACACAATGAAGATAGCGGTCGAATGATGCAAAGCAGCAAATCAGCATATTAGAATGATTTCTGAAGGATCATGTGACACTGAAGACTGGATTAACGATGCTGAAAATTCAAGAATTAATTACATTTTAAATAGTTATTTTACACTGGTGAGAATAAGAGAGATCTTACAAAAACCTTACAAACCGCAAACTTAGTGGAAATGATTAATATAGCAGGAATACTAGACCCTCAGTGGTCTTGACATTTTTGACTGGATCCAACAATTAGTAATAATTAAAATCAAATCATATTATCTTAAAGTCCCCCTGTAGTGAAAATCAAGTTTTTTAAGTTGTTTATTTGTCTATGTGGTGTTTTAAATATGCTTTTAGACAAACCATGTGCCAATCTATTAATCAACACCATTGCTGAGTATTTTCTCCCTGTAGTTTCCCAAAGGCTGTCTCAGAAACGCGGTTTGAAACAGCCCTCAGTTTGCTACGTCACAATTCAATAACCAATCACGTCAAGGGATGGATTCCTATCATTAGCATGCAAAATATACCGATACCAGCACAAAACCAAAAATAAATTGGAGCAAAAAACCCATGAAGCCGTGGTTTAATGTGAATTTAGAACCGCTAACTTGCATTATAACCCGCGGCAACAGTGTAAAAGTAGCCTGGAGTCAGACTGCACTACACACGCATTGCTCGCAGGCACGAATTAAGAATCACAAACGGCTGCATGCAAGTCTTCGAGGCATTTTAGGACACAACATCGTCAAGTAAGTAACTTTAACGAATGTTACAGTATTCACTGTAGTTGTCCGCTAGTAAAAACATAGTTTTATCAGTCATTATCCGTGTATGCCATTGTTCCGCATTAACTACAGTTCAGTGGTTGTTTATTTGTCTATGTGGTGTTTTAAATATGCTTTTAGACAAACCATGTGCCAATCTATTAATCAACACCATTGCTGAGTATTTTCTCCCTGTAGTTTCCCAAAGGCTGTCTCAGAAACGCGGTTTGAAACAGCCCTCAGTTTGCTACGTCACAATTCAATAACCAATCACGTCAAGGGATGGATTCCTATCATTAGCATGCAAAATATACCGATACCAGCACAAAACCAAAAATAAATTGGAGCAAAAAACCCATGAAGCCGTGGTTTAATGTGAATTTAGAACCGCTAACTTGCATTATAACCCGCGGCAACAGTGTAAAAGTAGCCTGGAGTCAGACTGCACTACACACGCATTGCTCGCAGGCACGAATTAAGAATCACAAACGGCTGCATGCAAGTCTTCGAGGCATTTTAGGACACAACATCGTCAAGTAAGTAACTTTAACGAATGTTACAGTATTCACTGTAGTTGTCCGCTAGTAAAAACATAGTTTTATCAGTCATTATCCGTGTATGCCATTGTTCCGCATTAACTACAGTTCAGTGGATCAGGAGGCACTGGCTGGTGTGACTGAGTGGAGGCGGGGCTAATTTGCATATTCATAGATCCGCATATAGTAAATGAGGCAAGGGTGTAGAGTTACATTCAAGCTATTTTAAGGCATGACAAAATTATTTTCACAAGAAAAAACATTTAAATATGCCATTTTGATGATCAAAATAAGTTTTAAGGGATAAAATATTTGACTACAGGGGGACTTGTAACAAATATTTTGATGACGTCTATCAAGTTAATTATAGAACAATATGGTAACACTTTATTTTAAGGTGTCCATGTTGCACATGTTACATGTACTTGCTATTATAACAACAATAAATTATGCATAATTACATGCAAGCAACCCTAAACCAAACCCTAATCCTAACCCTAATCATACAGTTAGTACATGTAGTTAATTAATATTACTCAGTACTTAAATGTATAATTGCACTGTAACAAGGACACCTTAAAATAAAGTGTAACCAAAAATATTTGTAATTATGAATTTATTTTAATATATTTTTATACATTTTCATATTTTGCACATTCAGTTATTTAACATGTAATTTGGACATATTAAAAATGTTAACAGAGTTGCAAACCAGATATTAAATAAATGTAAAATAAAACACACAAGGTCCTGATGAGCAGGAGTATTATAGTTAACTAAAACCACAAAAATATTTTTTACTTGAAATAAAATAAAATCTAAAAATATAAATTTTATATTCAGCTAGTTTTCAAAGCAACATTTAGCCTAACTCGATGTACTAAAATAACTAAAACTAAAATAAAAACGAATAAAAACCATATAGACAATTAAAACTAATAAATCAACAACAACAACAAAAAAAAAGACAAAAACACACACAAAAACTAAATATTAAAATGGTATCGTAAAATGCAAAAATTACTAATACTATATACATATTTTAGTCTTTGTATATATATATATATATATAGTTATTATATATACAATAGTTTCCAGAGACTACAATAACTGCTGATAAGGAACAACTTAATTTTCTGAAAGTCAAGCATCTCCTTTCACTCACTGTAGAGAAGGGCCTCTGGCCAAGGAGCCAGTTATCAGTAGGCCATCTCAAATATTGGCCCATAATATTACATATGTTTGATTTTGACGTAAATGATAAGTTGCAGACCTGTGTGTTGATCTCCTGTGGGACCGTGTGCTGATGGATCCAGGGATGAACCTCGGCCAGCTCCTTCTTCTGGTCCTGGGTGAACCAGGGCTGCATGGGCTGCATCAGAAGCAGCTTCTCCCGGTCTTCCTGAAGAACCTGCGCCTGATCCCTGCATGGATATCCACACACACAAAATAAAACTCACTTACACCGCCTCAATCGTTCGCTAGATGACACTCAACAGCACACCGCTTTGATTTCAAAATCGTTATTAGGGCTGCAAAGCGATTAATCGCATTCAAAATACAAGTTTATGTTTACATACTATATGTGTGTGCACTGTGTATATGTATTATGGAGTGTCTTTTTACACTAAGTGCAAACAGCCCACCTTGTTGGCAGAGGCTATTTACACTAACTCCACCCACCAACGTGTGATTGGGGTAGTCAAGACTACAAAAGACGTTCATTAAACATCAGTTTCAATGGCGTAGATGATAAGGCGTGTGCTTTTTGACGCGGTCGACCCGAGTTCAAATCCGCCTTTTGCCGAACTTTTTTCTCCCTTTTCAAATCTCATATCACATCGGAAAGGCATTTATTTTCAATAAAAATGAAGGAAATTTGTTGGAAATAAAGTATCGGGTAGGGTTAGGGTAGGTGTAGAGAGGGCTTTATTGTCCCAATAAGTTGGCATCCATTTAATAATCTGAATTAAAATTATAATTTACACTCAATATGTTATTATTGCGTACTGTTTTATAATGTACTACAATACTGAGGTGCAGATAATTGCCACTATTTGCAATAAGTAGTATAAATAGCAGAAAATTTTGCTATTTTAACAGTGTAAATAGAATCTATAGAGCTATCTGCACTTAGTGTAAATAGCATATCGTTAAAAAATACTGCTATTTGCACTTAGTGTAAATAGAATCCATAGCATCTATATCACTAATAAAACATGCTATTTTCACTTCGCCGCTGCCTATTTATTATGTATATATAAATACACACAATATATATTTTATATATAAGTGCTGTCAAACGATTAATTGCGATTAATCACATCCAAAATACGTTTACCGTCCAACCTGACAGAACTGGAGAGGATTTGCAAGGAGGAATGGCAGAGGATCCCCAATTCCAGGTGTGAAAAACTTGTTGCATTTTTCCCAAAAAGACTCATGGCTGTATTAGATCAAATGGGTGCTTCTACTAAATACTGAGCATTTTTCAGTTTTTCTTTTTTAATAAATCTGCAAAGATGTCAACAATTCTGTGTTTTTCTGTCAATATGGGGTGCTGTGTGTACATTAATGAGGAAAAAAAATTAACTTAAATGATTTTAGCAAATGGCTGCAATATAACAAAGAGTGAAAAATTTAAGGGGGTCTGAATACTTTCCGTACCCACTGTATATTTGTATAAAATTTATATATAAATAGAAGTATTTTATACATGAATCTAACATTTTCCTTAATATATACATGTATGTAATATGTGTATTTATATATACATAATAAATATACAGAGTACACACACATATGGTATGCAAACAAACTTTTATTTTGAATGCGATTAATCGTGATTAATCGTAATACTCTAAAAAACATAGAGGCCTGGCAGATTCGCCCTCTCCTCCATCCATAATCAGGTGCTTGTGTCACTTCATCAAGCTCTTTAACACAGGTCTCATTGTGTACCGTCACCTAGAGTCACCTACCTCAGGGCTGACAGTGCAATGAGACATTTAGCTTGATCAGAACTACCTCAGCGAGAGAGCCTGGCAGCGCTATCTCTTTCTCCTGTGGAAAGAGATGCTCAGAATGTCACGTTTCTCTCAGGTTTTTCAGAGGAATGAGCGGGAACCCGGGATTCAGAGAAAGAGAGAGGAAGAAATGTTCCTGGTCTGGTACCTGGGGCCGATCTGATAGGTCATCATGACGGGTTCGGGCATCTGCTTGATCATGCTCCATAACGAATTGTCCACTTGCTTTGTGAAGGTCATACGCTCACGTTCCTGGGGCTCCGTGGACTTGCGCGCTTTCCGCGATGTGTCCGATGAATCGTTGCTGGCGAAGTACTTGCTGCTGTTGCTGCTGCCTGTGAACATGAAACGTTGGGGGTCAGTTTAATGAAATCGTGGAGAACTATCATGCTTCGCATATAAAAGGAAGTCATTTAGGAACAGAATTTCATTTTTGAATTGAATTTCCATTAAAATAATCTTCTGGAAGATGTTTATGTAGTAGGAAGTAGGTAACTAATCAAAAGTCTCTAAACACCATCAAAAATGCTGTTTTGTGGTGGAAATGCAATTTAATAAATGTGACCCTGGAGCACAAAACCAGTCATAAGTTGCACAGGTATATTTGTAGCAATAGCCAACAATACAGTGTATGGGTCAAAATTATCGATTTTTATTTTATGCCAAAAATCATTAGGATATTAAGTAAAGATCATGTTCCATGAAGATATTTAGTAAATTTCCTACCGTAAATATATCAAAATTAGATTTTTGATTAGTAATATGCATTGCTAAGAACTTAATTTGGACAACTTTAAAGGTATCATTTCACTTGATTCAATTCCTCCATCCTCGTGTCTTTTCCTTGCGTCCTTTCCTCACATCCTGACGCGAGGAAAGGAAATGAGGATTCACAAATAAGAATTGAGAAGCACCCATAGTAATACATCCAGTTCACATGGCTCTCTGGAGCAGCAGCAGTACATATGTCTTGGTGATAGATCTGCTTGTTTGGGGGGTGTTTTGTTCTATTCTGTTCTGTTTTCATTCTTTCCATGTGTGTGGATATATTCATGTCCGCTGATGTAGCAATATATATTCTTACACTCAGCGGCATTCATATATTGGCTTGTATTATCTATTTCTTGTGTCTCCTGCTTTTGTTGGGGGTTACTTTAGTATATGTGACCCTGGACCACAAAACCAGTCTTAAGTCGCTGGGGTATATTTGTAGCAATAGCCAAAAATACATTGTATGGGTCAAAATTATCGATTTTTCTTTTATGCCAAAAATCATTAGGATATTAAGTAAAGATCATGTTCCATGAAGATATTTAGTAAATTTCCTACCGTAAATATATCAAAATTAGATTTTTGATTAGTAATATGCATTGCTAAGGACTTAATTTGGACAACATTAAAGGCGATTTTCTCAATATTTTGATTGTTTTGCACTCTCAGATTCCAGATTTTCAAATAGTTGTATCTCGGCCAAATATTGTCCAATCCTAACAAACCATACATCAATTGAAAGCTTATTTATTCAGCTTTGAGATGATGTATAAATCTCAATTTCAAAAATTGACCCATATGACTGGTTTTGTGGTCCATGGTCACAAATAATAAATGCCATTTTAAATTAATAGTTTTTATTTGATATTTAATGTTTGCAGTTTTGTATGTTTATGGTTGATGCTAAAGTAATATAATACAAATAAATTAAATTAAATCAGCCATACATATAAACAATTGCAGAAACATAACATAAAACAAACATTTATTTAAAAGTATTTACTATAATATTTAATAATTAATGAATTAAATATAAATTTTAACATATTTTACACAATATTTCACTCGAAATGTAAAAGTAAAAATGAACAAAATACTATATATTTACATATTAATATTAAACATATTATTAAATTTATATTAATTTAATAACATATTATTAAATACTATTTAAAAATTATTTTAAAATATTGTTTCAAGGAATTACTGACTGACACAAAGATGAAATACCATTTCTGTTTGACCAATGCCAGTAATCTCAAAGGAGAGAAACATGGTGCAGCTAACTGACTACTAATTAACCTATCACTAGTTCAAACACTAGATAGGTTGATCTATTATAGTTCCTAAAAAAAAGTATAGTACCTTTACTTCCTTTTATGTAAAGCACTTTGAATTACCATTGTGTATGAAATGTGCTATATAAATAAACTTGCCTTGCCTAAAAAAAAAAAAAATTGAAATGGAAATTTAATGCAAAAAAGACATGCATAATTCTCTTCACTCAACATTAAGTGTCATGTATAATTAATTTTGAACAGCACCTGTATGGCTGGTGGATGTTCCGTTAGAACCGAGTCCTGACCCGGAGCCCAGAGAGCCTCCCGACTCTCCGGAGCCACTGCCCGAGGCATGTGAGCCTGTTCCTGAGCGGGCGTCCTCCTGTAGCAACTGGCCAAGCATTTCACTGGAGCTAGAATGGGCGTCTTGGTTACCCGACTCGCTGGGAGCGTCCTCCTGTGAGCAGAGAAACAGACATGCTGATTAATCCATTCACTTCATTCACACTTCAGCTTCAAAATTAGTAAAACTAATTACTAATCATTAAGTATGAAGCTAAATGAAGATAAGTATTAAGCAAAAAAGCAAACTACAGAAGTATGCATAATTGCTTAATTAAAACCCTTTCACGACAAGTATTTTGTAGGCTGTGTGTGTGTTTGTGTGTATATACACACACACACACACACACACACACACACACACACACACACACACACACACACACACAACAACATATTTGGTCTCTTAAGGCCCTTTCCAATTAATTTGTACAAAATATACATTCTACATATTTTCATATTTTACATAAAAAAATTACTTTTCATATTAATTTTTACAAGAATGTTAATATATTTTAATTCGATTTTAATATTTCACTTAATTGTAATAAATATTATAGCAACATAACTGGACCTTTAACACCCTTATATAAACTTTTGATATTTTAATTATATATTTCGAATGCATTTTACCAACATATTTTAAGTATTTTAATAATCTTTAATATAGTGACATAATTTGTCTCTTACAGCCCTTTCACATGAATTTTTACAAATATTTGAAAAATATTTTACTTTTTTAAATTTTGTTTTAACTTTTACATTTTTTTTAAAAGTACATTAATAATAATAAATCAAATAAAAATTGGTCTCTCAAGCCCCTTTTATTTTATTTTATTTGATAAAATTTTATAAGAATTCAATATATATTTTAACATTTTACTTAAAAATTTAGTATATAATGGAGTATTTTATTAATGATTAACAAAAACTTAATATGAGGTCATAAAAACTGCATGCATAATAATTACAAAAATATTTAAAATAGCTTCAGATGGAGTAAATCATGTCACGCCTCAGGGTATTTCAATCGATGTCAGTTAGTCTCACCGCTTTGGCGTGGTGTTCATGCAGACTCTCTGGACCGGTGCTGTTCTGGGCTTCGGTGGGCTTGGTCAGCTCCTCCTGGAGTAAGTTCAGCTGGATGGGCGAGCTGGAGCGAGAGCTGGAGAAGAGCGCCGTGGGCTGTGCTGCATCAAGGTCTTCCCCAAACCAAGGGGCGGGTATTGAGTCGACCTCTGCCATCCCGACTCCTGTGACGGTGGGACCTGGAGGATGGCCCTGCGACGGAGACCCATGTGGCACGTGTCCACCAGGTGGGACGTAGCCGCCCATATTAAAGGGAGGCTGGGGAACGACTCCGGGCGCCGGGACCGGCATCCCCTGCAGGTACATGCCATTGTTCCCGGGGTACATGGGGTAGCTAGGAAGCAGGACGACCATCATGGGATGCATGGGTTGGAGGTTCTGGACACCTTGGTCAGGCTGGACCACCATGGGCTGCTGATCCGCACCGACCACGGTGAAGTAAGGGGCCGTTTGCATGGGCACTGCCATGGGCTGCACAAAGCCGATGTTGGACGGCAGGGGCTGAGAGGACTCTGAGGAAGGCCAGGAGGAATGAGGCGCTCCTGTGGGGCCGGGAAGGGACCAGTAGTTGCCAGGCTGGGAGCCGTAGCTGTCGGATGAGTCTTCTGGTTTGGGACGCTTGTGTTTGTTCGGAGGACGCATGGCATCAGCTGAGAGTAGATAGAAAAGGAGCGTTAATGAGTCTCAACACAAAATTATACTACTGCATGAGGGACGTCAATGCTATTATGTTAAATACAGACCATGCGCTGATTAAATTTTATGCATGGGGAAGGGTCTGCATTTATTTTAATTGCTCGTATTGGTATTGTATTGCTTTAGAGTCAACCATGCACATACAAAATTGAAATAAAATAAAAAATCTGTAGGATTTTTAATGTTTTTTAATGAAGCCTCTTGTAACAATATATACACTACTGTTCAAAAGTTTGGGGTCGGTAAATGTTTTCTCTTTTTTTTTTATTACTACTTTTATTCAGCAAGGATGTGTTAAATTGATAAAAAAAAGCGATAGTAAATAAATAGTAAATATATAATAAATAAAACTTATATTGTTAGAAAATATTAATATTTTTAATAAATGCATTTTAACTTTTTAATTCATCAAAGAATCCAGAAAAATTACAGTATCACTGGTTCCAAAAAATATTAAGCAGCACAACTGTTTCCAACATTGAAAATAATCAGCATATTAGAATTATTTCTGAAGGATCATGTGACACCAGGGTATATCATGGAGTTAAATTTAATACCTTTTAAGACCTTTTTTAAGACTCTTTCCATACATTTTACAATTCGCCACGCCAAGTTTTAACCGGTTACATCGGCGACACTTTAACTTACATTTACTATATATTGATTGTAAGATAGCACAACTAAACAGACTTCAGAAGTGGGGAACGAAGCACAAGAGAATTAACTAACCAATGCAACCAAAGAAACAAGAATTAGACTAATAAACAAAACAACTGACAGAACTTATTGAGGAGGCAAAATAAAGCTGGCACAGTATAGTTCACACAGTATATTCAAAAGATGTATTTGTCACATCAACTCTTATAACTGTCTGCAAACCATAGCTCTTTTGTGGAATACTTCTCATGACAAACACCTGACTGATCAGACAGTTTACCTGTGATTACGGAGTGCTTGATTTGATGCAGACTTGACAGAGTGTCAGTACTGCACCTGATCGTGTCTGAATGAAATAATGATCACAACTATTACATCATTTATTTGTGCATCCCAAGCCCATGCCAGTAAAAAAAAAACAGCCCAAAGTAGCACAATTACCATGT